GTAAGTGTGATCTGTTACAGAGCAGATGAGAAGGAGACCTCAGTTCCTGCATCACATCATTCTGCCAGAAGGCTTTTATACTTGCTCCCAGTCACCCGGCGCTACAGACGAATATGCGCGCACACGCAAAAAGAGTGTGAAGAGGGTTGGTGTGTCTCTTACTGTTGGCGTCAGTGTCGTCACTCTTGGGAGGGGTGTGTCCGGTGTATCCAACAGCAATCCTGACCATTCGCTCTGGATTTCTTATCTTCTTCAATCCTACAAAGAGGGGGAAAAGAGAGAAAAACACATTCAGGAGGCGCTGCAGACTTTGGTTTCCTCATCCGTCTCCTCTGAAGCTTGGAAACAAAACTCCAAGTGATATGCATGTGGGCTGATCCATTTTCAGATCCACTAACTTGCCTCCATTGTGTCTCCTGATCGATTGGCCACAGTAGATGCACTGCCTCCATGTGTGTGACTAACTTGTACCAAGCTTTAGTTTCTCTTCTCTCTCATCATTTCTCTGTTTCCCTGACCACTGTTGCTATGATACAAAGTAGACCAACCAGCACACAGGGAGATGGTTTTCCAGGCTATATGGTGGATGTTGTTCTCATGCCCACTGGTGTACTCTGCTGATCAGCGCCACACACATCTGCCAGGGGTGGGAAGCTGTACTGCTGTCTGCCCTGCCATGCATTTGGCTTCCATTCAGCACGGCTGAGCCTCGTAAATTATTACATCGTCTCTACATATAACACAGAGGGGGGCAACGGACAGAAAACCCTCATACGGTGAATGTGTGAGTCGGTTTGCGTGTTAGTATTTACAGTATGGGCAGGGGGATGGTTTTATATGTATGTGGTACAGTGCCTACTGATCTACCCATGGGCCATCTGTCTCATCTACAGTTCGAGTCTTTACACGCAATGGGACTCTCAACCCACTGCCTTCCCTTTGCCTCTGGCTGCACTCTGCATGCCTCCCTGCACGCTTCTCTGTATGTGTCTGACTTTTAAGAGCTGTACACCTGCATATGTGCTTCCCAAATGTTAAACACTACTTGTGTAGTTCGAGTTATCCAAAAATTGCCCTTTAAAGAAATCCTGCTCAGCATCGCTCTCTAATGGAGAGAGGTTAAAAGTGACTTTGTATCACTTTTCTGAGGAAGAGATCAGAGGAATAATTTAAGAATAGTCCTATAATAAAACTGTCTTCAGTGCTATGTGTCATTTTAGCTGTTAGGGTATTGAAGAACTGCGTGTCATCCATAACACATTGAGCTGATGTGTTTTTTGGGGATGTGTGATATCTTCTTTGAACAGGCAAGACACAAAAAACAAGGCTTACAGCGGATTAAACCAGGGGATGTTTATAAACAAATGTCAAACACACAGGTAAGAAACAGAGATGTCATTAGAGTCGAGGTGGAGATGACATTGCCATGGTGGTTTTGGTCACCTTAAATAATTAATGAAAGACTGAAAAACAGTCAGGAGGGTCTGAATGAAATGGTGGCTGTGTGTGAAAATAATGACCCATGAGAGTTTTGCAGGGGGACTAAAAATGTAAACTACATTCTTACGTGATATGACCTAAAACTGACACACACACACAGCTCACAACACCTCCCCCCCTCCCTAAATGCAGCCAGATTCTCACCTTCACTGCCTTGGCAACCATAAGCACACATCAAATGAACACAAACATAAACACACACGCCAACACGGGATAGTGACTAAATAAATGCACAGCTGGTCGGTGAGGTTGCTTGCATGTCAGGCAAGGAAATCTACGATTCAATGGTCTATTTTATGCCTTCAGAGACACACACACACATATACACACACACACACACACACGGAAAGCATCTGAATTCCTTCAGCGTGAACCACTCTCATCCACATCCCTTTTATGCTAAACGCTTGAAAAGCACTCATAAAGCAGCTGCTCTGGGGAAAGGCTGGCAAGCGTCGGACGGTGAAACGGTTCCCTATCCCGACTCACTCACAGCCTACCGACGGGACAACTCTCCCCCCGTTATTTATCTGCTGTCGGTTGACCGTGCTCCACACAGCCGCTGGTTCAGCACCAGCGTCCGTGTTTTCGGGACGAGCTAGAAGAAAGGGAAAGCCCCGCTGTTATCTCTCTCCTCCTCCATGCCTCCGTCCCTACATTGCCTCGCCTGAACCCCGAATAGCCGGACTCTGCCACCTCAAATAAAACCCGTTATTTCTCTCTTACCTTCCGGCTTGTTTTCGGCAGCCATTTCCCCTCCGCCGCGCGCCTCATCCCTCCTCCTCCTCCTCTTCCTCCTCCTCCTCCTCCTCGACTCGACCTAGTGGTGGTGGAGGTGGTGGTGGTGGAGGGGGGTGGGGGGGGGACCACGCGCGTGCACAGAGAGGACAGCTCAAGGAGGGGGGCGGGGCAGAGAAGAAGGGGTGGGGGGGGGGGGGCGAGCCTGCCGCGTTCAGCAAGACTATTGGTCCGCACGGGAGAGGACTGACAGCGGGGATCCGTGATGGTGACTCGCTGAACTCTCCATCCCTCCGTTTGTTCCACATGGTCCCGCCCCCACCACTTACGGTTACGCGCACTCTTCCTCGCTCTCTCTCCCCTCTCACGTCACTGAACGACGTCTGTATTCGAGGACACCTTGACAGCCTCCCACAGCATCATCATCATGCACATCATCGTCTTTTCTCTCTCTCTCAACACACACACACACACACACACACACACACACACACACACACACACACACACACACACACACACACACACACACACACACACACACACACACACACACACACACACACACACAGTAGGCCAACACACACACACACACAACGTAGGCCAACACATTACATTACAAGATTCAAAAGCTTTATTGTAATATGCACAGTATAGCTAAGTGTAGTTATGGCAATGAAATCGTAAGTCCCAGGCTCCAACAATGCAACACAAATAAGACATAAACAGTCAAACATATTTTAAAAACAATATAAAAAACAGTGCAAGAAAAAACTGAGTTTTGAATGTAGATGAAGTAAACTATATACATGTAAAAACAAAATGCACAATTTAAATGTAATAGGATAAACAACAACAGAATGACACACACATACAAACGCTCATTTATCCACATGCAAATCCAGTGGACTGTTGACAGTCCGATGAGCGTCCGTGTCCCGCCATAAATTACGAACCCCTTTTGAATCTAAATGAGCAGAACTGCCTTAAAGAGACTTGTGTTTGGATATGGGTTGGCGGTGCTGTCATTCGCTGTGGTGCTGAAGCACGTGGTGCTGAAAGGACAGCTCCACGCGCGCCTACACAGGCTGCGCGCACTACATCGAGCAGTGTTATTGAATTGAAGTGATGATAGGTCAAGAGAAAACTTATAGACTAACATGAAAAACAAGATTCCGCCCCCTCCCCCCCCCCACACACACACACACCCTCCCCCCTTGTTGCATAACTTTTCTTCAGCAGGAAATCGATGTAGGCCTATCTTTCTGTTATATTCACACGGGAAGTGAAGTTTCTACCGCTTTATAGGCTATCCCTTCTAAATAATGGGATTCAACCGGGACCATTGTGTTCTTGTTTTAAGCCCACACTGTCACTCTGTGCCGCGGGGTAGAATATCGCCTTTGCACCAAAGCCTTGTGTTTGACAGAGACAATCCTCTCCGTAGACAGGCTTCACGAAAACTAGCTTTTAAATCTCAAGCTACGTAGCTTTGCGTAGCCTCGTTCAGGCACACAAGGCTCTTGGCCATGACACAGTTCAAGTATGATGAATAACAACGAAAAACAAGTAGAATATATGTAGCCAAATAAAATATATCGATTTAATTTAACCTTTTATAATCTGTAGCCTAAAATGCACATTTGCCATGTAAAGAAATATAGAACCATTTCTTATCTGAGTAGTAGTGTGTTGTAAAGTTATTTTTCTACGTTTTAGTTACCAATTAAGAATTGCTTTGTTATACAATTCTGAAGTGAAACTGGGCTGTATTTCCAACAACACAATACTGCACATTTGGAACAGAAAACAGGATGATGTTAAAACGTGTGCCTATACATTTCTGTATTTAAGATTACCTCCACCATGGCTGGCAACATTTAAATGCTGCTTTTTGATGCATCGCTAATAATAAGATAATAGGCAAGGCAATACAATGATTTACTGTATCCTGTTGTCTTTTAATCAGTCGGCTACTGATGCATTTACATGTAAGAAGCATTTTAATATTGTAGTTGATTTAATATACTGTTTGGTTAACACATATTTTATAAACTAATATATTCGGTTGTAAAATCTTAATGGGAAAAAACAGAGTAACCAGAAAAAATTCCTAAGAGAAATATGGTGCAGTAGAAGTAGAAAGAAGCCATCCACCTGAAGCAAAGTTAAGTATTAGGTTGCATTCGACTACTGCCTTCTTCTAAATTAGTAAACAATTAGTACTATTAGGCTATTAAGTACTTGCAGTTTTGCTAAGTCTTGCATTTTTACTTGTAGGGTAAAGTAGAGCTTTTTTACATTTTGGTAATGATAGGCCTACTTATTTAAAACGGATCTGAGTTGTTGACAGGACATTAAGCTGGACAAATATGTGACCAATGCAACTGTTTCAGGGCCCAGACCCCAAACAGCCTGGCAAGTGGCAACTTTTTTGTTGGTGATTTATCTATCTTTTAAAAAAAGGACCTTGAGTGCTTTACTAACTGAATCGTGGATGCTTTATGGCGGACCTTATACTTTCATACCGAAGAGCGTCACCATGGTAGGGGGGGGAAACACATATCGACACACAAAGTAAACATGCAGTTTGCCGAAGAGACGATAGACTACCGAGTGTTTATAAAGAAAGAAAAGTAACACTTCTATTTAAACGTACTGACTTTGTTCCTGCATAGAGCTAGTGTCACATACTTTCAAACTCGAACACATCCAGTAGAGGACGACAGATTCACTTCCGCTCCCCGCCGTGCAGCTGACCAATGAGCTTCCAGGACACTGGAAGGTGGGCGGGACCATACTAAACGCAAACATGGCGGCGTCCTTAGATGATGATTTTGAGTCTGATAACCAGGATTACTACTCTCTGCTCAACGTCAGGAAAGAGGTATGGCTTTAATTAGTTTTACAGGCACACCGAAGGTTGACTGACCTCTCAATGTGACTGTCGGTCATATAACCTTTAGGAAAGTGGTCTTCAGACGGTGCTTCACCCTCCAGTCGAGGAACCGTCTTCTTCATCAGCACCATCAGACCGGTGGATGCTGCAGAATCATAAAAAGCCGGTTATTTCATCATCTACTTTAGTTAAATGCAGGCAGTGTATATTCTCTGAAGTGGGTGCAAAAATAATATGTCTGCACCGATGTGGATCTTTTCAAATCTCATTAAACTAGGGAGAGACCTGACTAGGATTTAGTTGGCGTTCAACTAGATAACGTTAAGTAGCATTAGTTAATGTGGCAGACACCATTGCCCAGCAGGAAGTACATTGACCCAATTTTTGTCTGTGGTTTGTTGTCAGTGGACAGGTAACTCTTTTCAATTTTGTTTAAAACTGGGATGCTTAAATGCAACAGTATTGTATTGACTGAGTGAAAATGATTCTGCACACAATTTGAGAGGTTATTTTCAATCAAAAATGCCTCTCTAATGTGAAGATCTCCTTCTTTGATCTGTCTTATATGATAGAACATACACTGGACTTTGCAATCCAAGAGGCTCATTGGTTCTGGCATTTTAGAGACTAAACTGATCAAATATCCGTCAGATTAATCCCTAATGAAAATAATTGTTAGTCACAAGTGACACCTGTCCTCTCTCCCTTGCTACAGGCTACATTGGAGGAGCTAAAGGCGTCATATCGGAGGCTGTGTATGCTCTACCATCCTGACAAACATCGAGACCCAGAGCTGAAAAGCCAGGCTGAGCAGCTTTTTAACCAGGTGCATCAGGCATATGAAGGTAAGGACACTTGTAGGTAATTGGGATTCAAACAAGGAAAAAGCTAATTTCTTTTGTATTAGTTTTGATGAAATAACCCCATCTCCATTTTGCAACATTATTGTAGGGTTAACCATTTAAAAAAAAGAATCATCAATCATTTGGATATAAAGTTTTAGTGGGTATATGATAATAATAGGTTAGATTGCTATGTTAAGTAAAATAAATTCATCATATTACTGTAATTAAAGGTGGGGTAGGTAAGTTTGAGAAACCGGCTCGAGATACACTTTTTGTTATATTCCATGGAATGCTCTTAACATCCCGATAGCAATGAATATCTTAAGTGCTTTGACAAAAAATCCATACAAAAATGTCATCTGTGGAAGCCGTAGTACTGTAAAAAGCACGACCAATCATTTTAGCCGGCCCGGCTAAAATAACTGGATGGCCTACCTGCCTGTCAGCCTTCCATCTGTGCACAAACTTATCTCGTGCTCTCATTGGTCATGTGCGCGTTCGTGTGTGTTGGAGGAGGGGCTCTGTAAGGAAGTGGCAGATTTTTTCCGGCTGCGTATTTTCAAATTCTAGCGCACTCGAGCTGGTTTCTCCAAAATTACCTACCCCACCTTTAAGCCCTCAAAAACAGGAAAAAGTCTAAACATTAGACTATATCTTGTCTCATTGGACAATATATTGTATTATACATAGTCAGTTAAAACATTTTATTGCCATTCTTGTTTGGAAAATACAGATGAAATTAAGCAGGGCATGGAAACAGACACAACTCCATTCAAAGCACACAGCTAAATCAACTCCTACATAAGCTGAACCACAATTTCTCTCTTTGCCCTCAGTGCTGGGTGATGCTCACTCCAGAGCCATCTATGACCTCTTTGGCAAGAAAGGGTTGGAGGTGGAAGGCTGGGAGGTATGTATTCTGTCTATTTTGCTGCTACTTTAGGCATACTTTACATTAACATATCTTGATAACTGTATGGTGTTGATGCTGCGTAGGTGGTGGAGAGGAAGAGAACTCCAGCAGAAATTCGAGAGGAGTATGAAAGGCTGCAGAGAGAAAGAGAAGAGAGAAGACTGCAACAAAGAACCAACCCCAAGGTTTTTACAGTCACAACTTCACCACATTCCTCAGTCAACTTCACTTCTTTTATTGTATTTCTTGTGCGGGCCACCATCTTTAAGCAGATATTACTGAATACATTAAGTAACACAACTCAATTTTGACTGTGGATGGTGTCCAAATTCATTTCATTATGTCCCTCATCCTTTTCATGCTTTTTTAATTAATTCTGTCAGTCTCTCCCCTTCACTCCTTTGTTATGCAGGGTACCATCAGCGTGGGTGTGGATGCAACAGACCTGTTTGACCGCTATGATGAGGACTTTGAAGAGATGCCAGGAGGAGGATTTCCTCATATTGAAATCAACAAGATGCATATTTCCCAGTCCATAGAGGTACAACAAAACACACACTCAATATTCGCTCTACATATTGAATAAAACCACATTTTCAAACACATTTCCTAATTTCAACACATTTCTGCTGCATTTTATATGTTCTATTTATTTTATGTTTTTCCTGGTGCTTTGTTGCCTAATGTATGTGTCGTTGATTTTACATTTTTTGTTGATATTATCCTTCATTAATGAGGGTATGTGAAGTAAATTGACCATGGAAGGCACCATTTGAATACATTGTATTACTGTTATTAGCATTATCTTTAAACATACACAGCTACTTATCTGAGCCAGGGTGACTGCAGTATTCTGTGTTTTCCTGTTTTTCTTCAGGCTCCTTTGACGAACACTGACACAGCAGTGCTGTCTGGTTCACTCTCCACACACAATGGGACCGGAGGGGGCAACATTAACATGACCGTCCGAAGGGTTACGTCGGCAAAGGGCTGGGGAGAGGTACACACACACATATAAAAACTACTTGGTGACAGCATGAGACAAATGTTCAATTGGGATGATACTGATTGTTTCAGTATTTTTGGTACAGAATGCAATCACATGTTCTTGTGGGTTCTCCTCGGCAGTTGGAGTTGGGAGCTGGGGACATACTTGGACCTCTTATCGGATTGAAGGTGTTTCGCAACATCACCCAACGGTGGTAAGGCCTGATTCTCTGATATAGGGGAGCATAACATCCACTGTATTTACATAAATTCAATGGTTGGGATTATTTGAAGATAATGAACTTGCAGGATTCTTGCTGTTCTGAATTTGTATCCTCACGTTTTACTGCACTAATTGTAAGGCGCTTTGAATGAAAGGGTCATCAAAATGAGATGTAATATAGCATATGAAAAGCATATTCTGCCTCTCAAATGTTTTCTCTGTTTGTCTCCTGTCTGTCCAGTTTCTTGACAGCCCAGTGCGGTCTGCAGTTCTCTCCTCGAGGTTTGCGACCCACCTGTTCTATGATGACAGCACGTCACCTGGACCAGAACACCATGGGTTACCTGCAGTGGCGCTGGGGGCCCAGCAGCGCCATGACGACCAGCCTGGTGCGGGACACAAAGAGCAGCCACTTCACTCTGGCTCTGCAGGTAAACATAAAGGCAAACAATAATGCATAAACACTGTAGGGAGGCAGGTATATACGGTACACAGCTACAGTACCTGCTGTTAATATGGTAAGTACAGGTTGTACTGTAACTTAAAGTGGCAATAAAAAAAACTTTTGATTGATCCCCCTCCCCTCCATTTCGAAATGGTATAATTTTGGCTCTGGATCGCTTTCCATTTTCTTCAGAGCCTGAGAAAAGATAAGTATTTAAATATATAAAATTGTAATAAATTCCCAATACTGCTTGATGCAAATGAATGAGTGATGACGTTGGTGATATGCAAATGACAGTTTTATATTAATTAGTCATTCTAATACAGTATTCATTCTCTCCTAACGTCCCTTGCAGTTGGCGATGCCTCACTCCTACCTGATGATGAGCTACCAGTACAAGTTTCAGGATGAAGACCAGACTAAAGTCAAAGGCTCTGTGAAGTACGTCTGTCCATTTATCCTGTCTGTCTCAAAGGATTTCTTGTTTCCTTAAAGGTGGGGTAGGTAATTTTGGAGAAACCAGCTCGAGTGCGCTAGAATTTGAAAATACACAGCCGGGGAAAATCTGCCACTTCCTTACAGAGCCCCTCCTCCAACACACACAAATGCGCACATGACCAATGAGGGCACGAGATAAGTTTGTGCACAGATGGAAGGCTGACAGGCAGGTAGGCCATCCAGTTATTTTAGCCGGGCCGGCTAAAATGATTGGTCGTGCTTTTTACAGTACTACGGCTTCCACAGATGACATTTTTTTATGGATTTGTTGTCAAAGCGCTTAAGATATTCATTGCTATCGGGATGTTAAGAGCATTCCATGGAATATAACAAAAAGTGTATCTCGAGCCGGTTTCTCAAACTTACCTACCCCACCTTTAAGTAACAGTTTTTTTATTATAATTATTAAAATATAAGTCATATTGTTTTTTTTTTAGATCCTAGCAATTCTTTTCTAAAAATATAATGTTTTTATAGCACATTTTTGAGAAAGAAAAACAATGTAGGAAAACATAAACATATTTAAAATTCATAAATAGAGAGTTCATTGATACATACAATATTCATGTAAAAGTATTATTTACAATAAAAGTAGAAAATATCTTCTATTGTAAAAAATACTTGCAATCTTTGGTTGTACTGGCTGTAAAATGAACCTACTACCTAAAGTAGCTGAATAACTTTTTATTTATTTTTGCGTTCCTCCCTCTCCAGGACAGGCTGGTTTGGTACTGTGGTGGAATATGGAGCAGAGAGGAAGATCAGCCGACACAGTGTCCTGTCAGCCACTGTCAGCATCGGGGTCCCTCAGGGGGTCACGCTCAAGATCAAGTACTGTCCAACCCAACATATGATCTCATTCTCTCGCGGGTCCTAATCTCCCTGAATCTAATGTATGTCTTTATTTGTCCTGGTGTTTCTGTGCAGGTTGGCACGTGCCAGTCAGACATACCTGTTTCCAATCCACCTCACAGATCAGCTGCTGCCTAGCGCTGTCTTCTACGCCACCGTTGGGCCCCTGCTTTTCTACATGGTCGTCCACAGACTGGTCGTCATCCCATATACACAAGCACAGAAAGAGCAGTCAGTACATCTTCTGTCCTAATAACACTCAATCAGCATCTCACTTTGCCAAAATGTGACTATCGATCTATGAGTGGCCTGCTCCCCAGTTTTGGGAAACAGACAAGAGTTTCTAAATTGAAGCAAAGCAATGTAGACCTGTGGATAAGGGGAGCAGCAAAACCTTTTTCGGCCGCCGTCTCAAAAAATCAATATCGGTTTAAGTGTACACTATATTTAGAATTTTTCGCCTCTTTACCTTGCTGCCAGAAAGCCTTTACCTGGAGGAACTGAAGTGGTTATCCAAGCTCTCTTCAAAGCAGCCAGACTCCTTTGACAAAAACAGTAATTTCACCGCACAGAAAACAGAAGTTGGTCTACCTCTGCCTCGATCTGGTGGTTTTGAAGATATTTTAGATAAAAGCTTCACTTCCCCCTCCAAAAGGGCTGTCATGTGGCAAGGTAATTTGTAATGTGGCTGATGTTTGGCTGCTTGCCGTGTCCACCTGTCCGCCATTTCCTTTAATACCATTTACAATGGCACTTTAGAAGATCAGTACTATCCCTTTAAGTTTTACAGTTTTCTAAAATGTGTTTTTTGCATTAATGAGGGATAGTTTTGTTATAAAACTTGCTGTCTTCCAGCTAAAAAAACAACTATACAGCCCTGAGTTACAACATTTGATTGTTGGTGTCATTGATATTGCGGGGGGGGGTTCTATCACACTGGCACTGTCACCACAGAGAGCCTCCACAGTGATTCCCGGTGGGCGATTGTTGATGTCTGCTTTGTGCTTCTCAGAGATTTGGAGCTGCAGAGGAAGAGCTCGGCAGTAGACATTGCCAAGAAGAAGACCGAGGCAGAGTCTGCTGTGAGTACTCGCACTCGCAGTGTGCCAACACACAGTTACTCGCTGTGTGTGTGGGAATCATTGTTTCTACGTTCAGCTCTCCTCATCTTGTCTGAAAATCTCTCTCCTATCCAATTCTATTTTGTCTTCCTCCTCCTCCTCTATCTCCCTCGACTCCTCTGCAGGTTCTGCTGATGCAGGAGTCTGTGAGGAGAATCATAGAAGCGGAAGAATCCAAGATGGGTGAGGGAACACACACAAACACACACAAACACACACAAACACACACTACAATCAGAGTGAAACCTTTTTAAGTTTGCTGCCAAAACTTAGAAAAAAATCTTAATTCACATGTGGGACATTTCTCATGGTTGCGTTAACTGTGTGATATAGTGATGCTCTAGGATTAAGTTTGACTAAGTCTGACTTCCATCATTTACTACTGTAAAGCATGTGTTGCTGATTTAGCCCATCTCCATGCAGTGTTTACATAAATTAAGCCTGTTAGTCTGTGCACACAACACCAGTGTGTCATTTGGTAAATCCAGACTGCAATTTCAGTGTGTTCATTTATTTCCCATTATAATTGGTAATGATATCAAGCCAACAAAGTAAAATGACAAAGTTATTGGCCTGTCAGTCCTCTTCTTATCTGACACAGGTTCTGTGTATTCACAGGAAAGCACTTATAGTTGTCCACTTCTAATACAAGAAGTGCTAACTGTGTCCTAGACAGTATTTCAGTATGTCTGTATTACACATCACACATACTCTCTCACTTACTCCCCCTTCACTTCATGATACTTTTAAAAATCCGTCTTATCTACAAATCTCTCCATAGTCTCACCCCTACATTTCAGAACTTCTCTCCCCTTACAGCAACATAAGCCTTCTCAGATCCGCCCACCCATTGCATGTTAGCTTTTCTCCATTTGTGGAAAAAAGAAATGTGGGGACAGGGCTTTTTCTGAAGCAAGACGTACATTTAGAACCACCTGTAATCTCTGGGCATCAATTGTGATCAGATTTTCCACCACATGTACGCACATAAACAGTATGTCTTTATGCTTGCATTGTGAGTACATAATAGTATGTCTTTGTGAGGCACGAAATCTGTTTACTTAGATACTATGCAAATAAAAGAATGTTAACATTTTGTTATCTTGTATGCACTGCCAAAGGGAAATGAGAGCACTAAACACTGAGCTTCTGTCTAGGTCTGATCATCCTGAATGCGTGGTATGGAAAGTTTGTGACGGACACCAGCCAGAAGCAGGAGAAAGCAAAGGTCATCGACGTCACCGTGCCTCTGCAGTGCCTGGTCAAGGACTCCAAACTCATCCTAACAGAGGCCTCTAAGGTGTGTGTGTACATGTCAGTGTGTCCATTTGATTGTCCACACCTCTGTATATGCATGCGTATGAATTGCTTCTCTGTGTGCAGGCTGGGTTGCCGGGCTTCTTCGACCCCTGTGTGGGAGAGGATAAGAGTCTTAAGTTACTGTACCAGTTCCGAGGCGTCATGCACCAAGTCATCTGCGCCGACACCGAGGCACTACGGATACCCAAGCAATGTTAGTATGCAGCCACTTAACCCAACAGAGCCAGAATTATTATCACTTAGCAACACACTACTACAGTATAAGCCTGCATCCATGTTCAAATTATATTTATTCTGTCTTTTCAGCTCACAGACTCGAGCCTGAGTCCTCCTAGGAGCCCACTACTGTTGCAGCACCAGAGGGCGAAACGCAGATCAAACAGACTGTGTGTCAACAGAAAAAACGAGGGGACAAATCAACAATAAGTCTGTTACTCTCCTCTGGTCCTCTTCTGTCATGGTATTTAGTGAATCTGTTTATCCAGTTCCTCCACTCGTCCCTCTCCTCTGAGGTTCAGCAGAATACACGAGGCAGCTCACAGTGTGTGTGTCTCTGAGTCAAATATCTGACAGCTGCAGGAGATCAGACACTGGCCCTGAACATAGTTTTATATATAAGTAAATATATATACATATATGCACTACACAGAGGGACTGATGGTCACTGCGGATGTGGTGACCATTCCTGTCCAAGATGAGCTAAAAGTGCACATACATTTAAAGAAGTGTATTGAATTCTTTTTATGTCAAGTATATAGAAATGAGCCGTAATGTAATTTGACCCCATATCATTGTCGTCTTAGTCCTGTATGTGTATCACCCGGGTAGGTTAATCTATTCATGTTATAACATACCAGTCGTTTCATTAACTCGAGCAAATGTCTCTAAAATGCAGAATCATGTCTCTGCGTAACTCGTGTTTTGGTTCACTTTATTGAAATGTCCCTACTTCATTTATTTTGCCTTTGAGTGACATGTCTGCTGCTCAGGTGAAAACTGGTGCTCAAAACTTATATCTGTGAAGGTCGGATATGGAAGTTGGAGGAGGAAAAGTGAGAGAGATGCCCTTTGATGGTAGTGGTCCAACCCAGGCTTATATCTTTCATACTGAATTTTTAATAATTCAGGCAAGACTGCATTTTTAAAGCAGAAGTTCCCCTTCGATTTGATTTGCGTCAGTGTTTATTGATTGTTGCTCTGCAGCTGCAGCCCAATGATTTTTTATAAATGAAGGTTGGGTGTGTACTTCACTTCTACTTCCAGCCCTAAGCCCCTGATAACAGTAACTACTGGTACGCATTTCTCATATTTAGGCCTATGTAGATATGATTAAAGCTGTTTGGCGTAGGTCAACACTTTCCCTTCCTGGAGGTTGTGTTTTTCACTGTGACAGGCAATAACTTGAGCTGACAGGAGCCACACTAAAACCCTCGTACTGATCATGGAACATTAACATGGCTGCATTTATTTGTTGGATTGTGTGTTTGTACACCAGACCGGTGCCATATATTTGTATTTGTTGTTCTGTCCCTCTTTTTTATTTTTTATTTAAAAATTGAATTCATCTGCTATTGCCATGTCCCTTCTTATACATGTATAAGATGCTAAACCATGCTCATCACTTAGGGGATAATCAACACACTAACATACCATTAATGTAGCTATTTTACTTAGGTGAGGTTGATATGGATAGACCTAATATCATATGATGCACTTTCTGTTCAGATCGGTTGCAGTTTGAAATTGTGGATTGAAACTGTTACTACAAAGGGAATAGCGTAAGTAAAATGATTGCTCCATTTTGTTGGGAGACACCGTCATGGGCTACGGTGAATCCCTGAAAACACGATCAAAAATAGTATTATATTGACCTAAAATGTATTTATTTTCTTTGCACAAAAAGTACATATTAGAGGCTTGTCATGACAGTGGAGCTGAAGCCTCTAAATTAAGTTGCATACTTTTACTGAGTTTACATCTAAGAAGTTATGACAAGTCCTGTTTATTTTATATTGTGCATTTGTTCCATTGCTGCAATTGACTCACAAGACGAGGGGGTGTGTAGGCTCAAAAATAAAAACAGGTAGCATTACGATGTATACGTTTTTGTTATTGGTTGAAAGGATGTGTCTCTACAGTCAGATCCATAGCAGTCTTGTGTCACTATTACAGCAGCCATTTTGCACTTGACTGTTTGTAGCATTTGTCTTCTCTCGTTAGTTTTAAGTGTGCTGTAAAGTGTTTTGACAGGTCAGCTGGTCACCTCTGCTCCAGTGCCGTCATGAGGCGCCATGAGGTCAGCAGAAAGACGGCTTCCCTGCTGTTACACTCATCAAACTGACCCACATTAGTATGTAAATATGCTGTATGGTTGAGGAGCCTGTGTTCTCTGTCCTGTAAAAACTACAATAAATATGAAGCGATCAGATTCCTGTTTGATTTCAAGAGCGTTGCAGATGGACTAGCCAATTAGAAAATGCACTGATGTTATGAAGACAAAAAGGAAACTAGTTAAAATGGTAACTCTTTATTTACAATAGTTTACAATAGTTTCACAGAAACAGTTTGCACCACAGAACAGACAACGCTTTCTCAATAAGGGGATAGGATAACCCAAGATCTGGATCAAACAAGCTTTATCACAATGAGCTAACATTGATTACACTGATGTCTTAAAGAGGCAGACTAGAATTTGGATTTTGTGCCCAAAGATATCTCTTCAGGTTCTCTTTTCATGACATGAACGTCCTGAGAAACTGCTTTTTATGTCTTGAAAACTCCCTAAAAACATCAAAACCTGATGTTTCTTATGATCTGGTGATTGCTGGATAGAAACCAGTTAACGAACATTTGAAAATACCAGACAAGAGTGTAGCTTAACCACTTTAAACTTTTAGAAAGTCCTGTATTCTTTACATACCAAAGAAGCATTGGGTTGTTAGTCATTGCCCAGTCAAAGTAACTGATTCTGCATTACAAAATCCCATCCTGGACTTATATAAAAGGTTCTGAGTCTAAAATCTGTCACTACAGTATGGCTTTTATATTTTATCAGACAAAACAGCAGATGGCACATGAATAACGAAGCTTAAAAACCAACATTTCCAGCAAGTTTTAGGGAAAAAGTGCAATAGTAAAAGCATTTTTTTCAACTAAACCTGCTGCATGTGGAAATAAGTGAATACTGCTGTGAAAACATTAGTGAGAGGTGATAAGAGACAAAATCTGTTCTCCTGATCTGACCCTTCAGAGACAAACAAAACAGACCGACCCGGCCCATGGTTCTTTGCAGATATCCATTTCTGTTTCTTACAAAGATTGAAACCATGAAGCTAAGTTGAGCCATAGCAGCACATGCTTTGCCAACACCCTCACACTGTCATCCTTTCAAACAAACACACTCATGCATAATTTCCACTGGACTATTTCTAACAACACTATTCCAGTTACAATAGCTTTATTTTCTGTTGATACTTTAACAGGACGGCCATAGGAGTTCCCTTCTATAAATATGCTTGTCTCTGAAAACTCTGTCATGAGCATGAAAACAGAAGACATGAAACAGAGGTGAATTCAAACAATGGTTTGGAAAATAATAGTAGTTATGAACAATACCACTGTTCTAACCCGTCATTGAATGCAGCAAAAACACTGAGCAGAGGCAAAAGAGAACTTCAAACTGAAAACCCTGTCATCTGAATCTTGACAGTTTTATATATGTGAAATAAGAAGTTATTTAATATAGAAAAAAACAGCTCATCTGAACAGGATTCTGGTGAAAGACAAACACTGTTTAAACATTTTGAAAATAAAATGGTGTGAGAACTTTGTGTATGGCCAAGGAACGTCTTAATTGAGAGGTTGGAAGACCGTTTCTGAAACAGAAGGGGGAGGAAGAAGCGCTTGGTTCAGTTAACGGGCTTCAAGCCTCAATGATATTCTTTCACAATGTTTTAAATAACAAAACAGAACAAGAAAGAGATGAAGCAGATGCAGACTCTCGTATCCTACATCTTTGCTCTAGTGGATTATACCTCAGCGTAATACTATAGCACCATCTGAAGCAGTTAACACAAGGCTTAGCTTGTTTTACGGTTAATTATGTAACATTTATAGAGTCATCTAAAAGAAGACAAATCCAGTTTACTCAGAAAGACATACATGTCCTTATGACAGAAAGGTCATATGAATCCTTAAAAAAAAAAAAAGTGAGAACAGTGCAAACTGTCTTTCCTACAAATCCCAGCATGCACCATAGTGGGTGGCAGTTTTGAGGGTATTCTCTATATGGCAGTTCATATGTTTCCAGTGTTCACGAGACACCAAACAGTAGAGGTTTGTCCCTACGCTAATGTCATCTACAGACGGACATCCATTCAGTGATTGCCTAACGCACGGAGTCTGTAGGGATGCAGGAACAAACCTTAGTTAATCTAAAAATCAAACTGTTTTCAAAAAGGGATAGGGGCTTGGGATAGGTCCACCAAAGTGTGTATAGAAAATGTGGGGTTCATGGCTGGGCATGAAGGACAGAGACTGAAGGTTGCAAGACCTGAATTTGAGGAAGGGTCAGTCCAGCAGGCGGCATGGAGGCAGGAGTGGAAGGGGTCAGAGTTCAGGGGTCGTTCAGGGGTCGACCTGGGGTCAGTCCAGCAGATGCTTGCGCGGGCCTATGCGCGAGCGGTGGGACCGGCGGGCGTCTGCGGTCCCGAGTGACTCTCGGCAGCTCTGGCACGTATATGTCTCTGGAACGTGGCTCTTACGGATCTTGGCACAGGACAGGTGGATCCAGGTGTTGCACTGGTTACACTCGATCATGGCCCGGCCCGCGAAAGGCTTCATGCAGAAACACGTCACCAGGTCCCACGAGTCGTCATCTGAGGAGGCAGGAGAGAGCATACAATGAGTCAAAATATGGACACTCTTAACGTTCTTTTATACACCGAGGGATATGACAGTTTATGCCGTGCTATAGCAGAAATGTGTCAACTGTTGGGAGAACATTTGCACAATGTTGTGTAATATGACAGTGTGTCGTCACCTTTTTGAATAGATGAGCAAATCCTGCAGGAAATATATTGCACATTGACTGAAGTCTTTTATGTATTGGATCCTGTTTACATTTAAAACTGTAACTGTAAATTATTATTTTCAGGAACCTTAAAGCTTTAAAGGTCACCTATCATGCTATTTTTAGGCAATAGCATAGGTCTCAGATATATAAAAATATATAAAAAACATGTCTATGAAGTGTTTTGCTCAAAATACCAAACAGATCACCCATTCTAGCCATGCCTCATATCCCTCTATTTCACTTCCTGTTTCAAAAGTGCTGATTTTGGGTATAAAGCTTTAAAAAAAGAAAAAGGAGGGGGTTGACCTCATGCGGGAGATTTTACCGGCAGATACTGCGGTGATGAAACACCATATCATGGATTATCAAGGATTATTTCTGAAACAGTATGGAGCTCAAAGGCTTTCTCTCTTGCCGGTTATACCACAAGGTGAGTTCCTTTTTATTTCCTGCTTCTTCACAAACATGCTCTCCAGTACAGGTTAGCTCTGAGTGTTAGCGATGCTAATGTAAACATGCATCGACCATATTACGTCCAAAACAGTCGGGCATTGTTTCTGATAGGGCCGTGGGTGTAAAGCCAGCCTACATTTCCGATATTACGTCATATCGGACGCAAATCTGGATCAGCTCCGTTGTAGCCCCGTTTTTAGAGTTTTGGGTATGATAGGTCCCCTTTAAAATTTGGAAAGAATTTCAGTTTTGTTTTTTTAAATCTTTTATCTCAAAGGTCGTCTCATGTAAGGAAGTTGCTTAGTTTATAATGAAGTTACAAAAAAATAATTGTTTGTTTAATTAAATACAGTATGGTTGTTTTAAAACATTTCTCAAGTTTACAGCAACTACTCTATCATAATAAATACTGTTACCTTGATATAAAACTGCATAAGTTATGATTGAATATTTGGCAATATAAAAACCAAAATAAAACCTACCAGAGTCCACCATGATGTCCTCATCCTCTCCTGATCCGTCTTCGTCTCTGAACACCACCTGTTTCCCCTGGCGGAAGACCTTCCTCTTTCCTGCAAGGCCCTCCACCTTTTGTACCTTAACCATCCCTTCTTCGAGGTCTTCGAGGTCTTCGTGACCCCAGTCTTGACGCTCGTCGTTGGGCTCCTCCTTGCAGGGGGCCGAGCTAGGCAGGCGCTGGGGGGTGATGGGGATGCTGAAATCATCTTCAGGCTCCTCTTTGATCGTTCGGCCACCAAAGGAGTCTGGGTACTGCAGCCCTGGAAACGTCGGGTGGGCTTGCTGGACTCTGCTCTCCTCCCCAGACCCATGTTCCCTCTCCTTTCGCCTTTTCTTCTTCTTCAGCTTGTCAGCTTTTCTGCGGTCATCTGGGTGCAGGGTTGGGATTGTGTGCTAGAGGAGAGAAATAAAAAAAGGGAACGCATGTTTAAAGGAAGGAAGGCGAACATATAAGGCTAAGGATTTGACTTGGATTAATTTAACTCACTTCTTTCTTGGTGTGACCAGACAGTGTGGCTCCTGGCTGTGGACGTTTCCTGCTCCTGTCCTGGGGGGCCTTGGGAGGGCGCTGGGGGCAGGAGGTTGGGGGTCCCGGGGTCCAGCCATCACTGTCAGCTGTGCTGCCTGTACTGTTGGGAGGACTGGAACTACTGCGCAGTGGAGAGTCCTGTATCGAGACAAAGGAAGAACTAGAAGTCAGTGAATTCAAAACACACAACCACGGATAACACTGGTGATAAACAGATTTCTCCACCAAACAACAAGATGACCATATATTGTTATATTCCTATTCACAAATATATTCTATATATTAAATGTGTACTAATAAGGTAGGCAGTAGCTCATTCCATAGAGGCATGGCTTGGGAACCAGATGGTCGCTAGTTCAAGCTGGCCCGGACGCTCTGTTGACTGGTAGCTGGAGAGGGGCCAGTTCGCCTCCTGGGAACTGCTGACATGTCCTTGAGCAAGAACCATGGCAAGTCCTTCGCTCTGAAACCTCTCTATGTGTGTATTTAGGGCAAAATGTCTATAGGTCCTGTTTGTGTGTATTTCAACTGTATCAACAGAATGAATTTTCCCTAGGGGATTAATAAAGTGTGCTTTCTTCTACGCATTCTGAGATATACTGTACCGGTTTAGAGTTATGTGTGTGGGTAAAGTGCAGCTTTAGACCTTTAGAGGGTTTCTGTGGCATTTTCCTTTAGTTCCATAGTTCAGCAGAAGATAGACAGGAACGAGAGAAAAGAGAGGGGATGACATGCAGCAAAGAGGAACCCGCTGTTGTAAGTAAGCACTGTCTAGGGGTCCTTGACTGAAGAAATTCTTACTAGATTAACACTTAGATAATTTTATTTAGCATTTAAACTATAGTTTTGTTTCTTGTCATTCATCATAAAAAAGCACAAATAAAAACGAATCAATTAAAGAATTCCTAGTCGACTAAGGTCCAGATATACAATACATCAACAAAAAAGGGGAATTCTTTCATGACAGCTTAAGTGTTGGGCTGCGCTATTTATCATATTATATTAATCAACCATAATGTAAACCTCTATGACTTTTAATTTTGATGTGAAGCTGTAGGAAGGAGACCAGGCACATAAAACCCTCATTGAATATCAACAGATGAAAGGACTTGCACCACATGACATAATGTGCAAAGACAGACAGGCAGAAGGAAAATGTATTTGTTAGAGGAAAACCGAAAAGCAACTTGGTGACAAAAGACCTTTAGAGGAACAACCATAACTTGAACTAAATGAGTCAGAATCTATAAATCTACACTGCTGGTGGTGAGGAAGAAGAAGTACATTTGTCAAACATCAGATCTGACAAAATACATTTAAAAAGGGTGTCATATTTTGTTGTTTTATTGGTTTAAAAGAAAATGTTTATAGTTAAAACCATTTTATTAGAAAAGCAAATTATGACAATATCATAAATGTTCTGCAAGTTTGGGGGACTTATCCGAGTTTGGGAAACACATGAGGTGTGTAACAACAGATAGTTAATCCAACACTGAGAAAAAGGAGAGTCCTTTGATAACAGGACATCAATGTTTTAGGAAGTGGAGGTGCATGTTTTAATGAGTAAGCTTTCACTTTAACAATGTTTTTTAGCCATAATAAATGTGCTACAGAGAGGAACATGGGTATGAATCGGTGTACAATGTGATCACAACTACTCGTCAAACAACAGAGTGCTCAGTTAAGGAGGTGACAAACAGCAGTGTACATGAAGGAGGATCCAAGAGAGATTTTAAAAACAGAATTCAACGTATCATATGAAAAGTTAGAAACTCTACATTCAAGATCAAATAAAACACATGCTACTAACGTGTAAGATAATATGCTTATAGTTTTAGAACAACTTTGAAGACAATGACATCCAACTACACAAAGTCTAGACAACGTATTGCCAATCACAACAGATATGCAGGATTCAAAAGGATTACATCCATCGTGTGGTCAATAAGTATCTGCTTGCAGTTTTAAACACACACCTCTCCATTTAAATCCATTCTACACATTTCCCACAGGGCAAAATGTCTGTTGATATAATTTTGTATCTATTAACTTCATTAATTTACAAAAAACATGTATGTTTTATTTATGATTTAGCTATGCATTATGGTGATTGATGTTATCCACTGCATGTGTATACTCTTGATTTAGTATTTCTACTATGTGGACACATACTGTAACTCAATACAACAGTTCTCATTTGTAACTAAATGTAGCAGATTAAAACGAGTGCATTACCATTAAGGTGAAGATGTATTGTAGTTAAAAGGCACTAACTGCTTCATTTACTCACCTCTTGCGGGTATGGGATGTAACCAGCATAGGCCAAGACGAAAGTGCAAAACTTGTTAAAATCCTCAACTGTCCTCCTCCTGTATGGCGGGCTGAAACCCTGAAACAGTCATTGAAACATTAACACGCTGCATTAAACCTACACAACCCGACATGGCGTTGACCATTGTTTTATACTGATGGCGTTGACATTAACGACAAGTGATTGGCACACTCCATTTACGAGACTTTACAAACGTAGACTCCGCGTCGAATCAATACGACATAACAACACTGGAAGCAACTCAAAAATAAGATGTTGACAGTCTAAAGTTTGATTAATCGCAGACACGAATGTCTCTTTGGACTCGTCAGTGAGGCTTCCCACCAACCTCCACCGATTAACCAACGACAGCTAATAGCAACGTCGGCTAGCAATACACAGCAAATAAGTAACAAATGCTAATGCTACGAAGCTAGCTGCTGACAAGAGTCGGTGAAGTTTGACTGGCATAACATGCAAATATAACGCAGTATGAAAAACCGTCGAAAATTCAAAGACGGAAATAAGAGCAGAAGTGTACGCCAACTGTCGATAGAAATAGATGGCTTGCTTACGATGTTTAAAAAGCCAACGTTAGTGATAGCATATTAGCATTCTGTGGTTATGATGATGGAATGTTATTTTTTCGATGAAACGTTAAGCTAGCTTCTGCGTCAACAGTCTTACAAAGTGCACTCTGAAGTAGTGTTACTTACTTATGCTCACACACAACTTTAAGTATTGACAATTGACTGTTTGAACGAAGCTTTTCTGGAAGTTTAACGTGTGTAACTATTTTAATATCAGCACCAGTAGCTAACATTATGACAACATTAGCGCGGTATGCTAACGAGCAGCTGCTACACCGTGTGGCGACAATCTCGATCAAGTTGACGTTTGCTAGCATCGTTAGCCATGTCTGCAAACACTGTGAAATAGTTATGCAAGAACACTTACCTCCGACTGAAATGCATGGGATGTCGATGGGTTTATGTCACCCATCTTTACCGAGTACCCGACCACCTGGCGTTGTGTCGATACCGCGACCGTAAACACTGTGGTTACCTAGCCTATGCTTGGTAGATACGAAGCTAACGTCAACGTTACTTATGCTAAAACTCGAAGCAACAGCTTTCTCTCAGTTTGCCATCATCCTCCATCAGCACAAGCGATAACGTTGTTTAACCAATGCAAGGAAACAAACAACTAATCGGCTCTAAGTTGAAAAACGTGTCTCCGGTGAAGAGTAAACGGTACTACTGTATCTACACGTAGCTGTCCGGTAATGTCTTCTGTTGATTCGGTGTATTGGCTGCTGGGGGAGCGGTTCGGCTGTCACCAGCTGCCTGCCCCCTTCTAACTTCTTCTTCTGTGGTGTTTATTGTCGTATGCCAAACAATGGAGGCTCATTTCCGCCACCCACTGGACTGGACAGTGGCAGGAGATATATTGAAATAAAACAAACAAAACCTCCTCAGCTCTCTCTATTAATCCACATGGTGATATTGTATTTTCTATGAGTTAGTATTAATTCCTGTCTTTATTCCAGGGGCGGTTCCAGGGGGGGTCAGTTTATGATTAAACGATTTCTTGGCAGACGGAATAGGTGGAACTAACGCTATTTGTCATTCTAGTCGGACCCATTAGAGCGTAAAAACTGTAACTATAAGTATCTGAAATAAATATGTGTACTGAAACAAATACCAATAACTGTATTGCATTGTTTTCTTATGCGCAATTACTTCATACTGTCTTTGTCTTTTTCGTCCTGCATTTATTGTGCCCCCCTCAGAAAATAACTGGCCCCAGCCTGGCCCCCCCAGTCATATTGGTCTAGAATCGCCAGTGCTTTATTCATTGTAGCTTTATATGTTTATTTTAATAGAAACAGATGGTAGCTTAGCGCTTGTAACATGTGATGTGATATATGGTAATAAACATTCAAATAAATCAACAAGTGTGTGTATCTTTGTATATCATTTAAAAATTGTATTTCATGTGAAATTGCCTCAATACTGTGATATAAAAATTATAATTATATTATAATAATTACAATAATAAATACTTATCGTGGATATTTTTTAATTAAAAATGGTAATATGCTTTGTAGTGCCCTAAAAGTAAGGAAATAGTTTTACACCATTGTATAGAGTGGCGAAGTCCCTCCCCTTCCGGTTGAGCTCCATGGGACCTTATTTCGGAAAAGTTATGCATTGAAGTCAATGGAGAGAGAAAGATTATCTTTTGATCCCGTTTGAATTGTGCCACGAATTACACATATGATGTTTGTCAATTTAAAAGATAATTTTACAAGTCAAAAAAATAAAAATGTGTCGTAAAACTGTGAAGTAACACTTTTTTTGTGTGAAACCGCTCAATGAACTACATCTCCCGTCTCGCACCACACACCAAGACGGCCGTCACGTTGGCACATTTCACTTCTTTCTTTCAGAATGAGGCGAAAAGTATTAAAAGAGGTGAAAATCACTACAAGTCTGGGCATGTTGAGAGCTGTACATACACAAAAGGGGAGTTAGTCGGTTCCGTAAGAGCTAGCATGCGGGACCGGGATTCTGGGATTTGTAGTCTTTCTAGTTGCGTATTATTCATAGTCTTATATTTCAACAGTTTTACGACAAACTGTGACTTTTTTGACATGGAAATGATTATTTAAGATTGACAAAGATAATCTTTCTCTCTCCATTGACTTCAATGGAGAGAGAAAGATTATCTTTCGCTCCCGTTTGAATTGTGCCACGAATTACACATATGATGTTTGTCAATTTAAAAGATAATTTTGCAAGTCAAAAAAAAAATGTGTCGTAAAACTCTGAAGTAACACATTTTATTGTGTGAAACGCTCAATGAACTACATCTCTTGCACAACAACACACGTCACCAAGATGGCCGTCACTACTGTCTTGTCAAAAAAGTGATTGACTACCCTCACTATCACCACAATGAAACACGTCCAGAAGAATGTCATGCAAAGCTGCCTGCCTGCCTGCCTTCCTTTGATTCTCTCTGAACTGCCTGATCTTTTTAATGTTTAATGTCAACCATTTGTGCAGATAGCATGAAGTAGAAAAGATCGCCAAAGCTAATGTAGCGTTAGCGTTAGCATTTCTCCCCCAGGCTTAAATGGTGTATTATAGAATGATCACACCGGTGTGACAGTACTCTTCAAAGGGTTCATGAAATATGACTACTACTCTTACTGTTTAATATTTTGGGTTACTTAATGTTACGTCATGTTAAGGCTAATAAAAAGGACAAGGCTAAGTCGGCTGTAATGCTAACTAACGTGCTTGCTACTAGCTAGCTAACTTGATCCAGCCACTCCTGGTCCTTTCATCAGACAGGAAGCGAAAGAACGAGCAAGACCCATTGCTGGTATGATAACAACCTGGTACTAAGCACACAGGCATCTTGTTAAAGTTATCTTGTCTTAGTTATCTCTATTTTAGTGGAGGAAAACAATTGTGACATCAGTTATGAGTGACATCACTTATGCGACTCTGGGATTTGTAGTCTTTCTAGTTGCGTATTTTTCATAGTCTTATATTTCAACAGTTTTACAACAAACTGTGACTTTTTTCACATGGAAATTATTTTTTAAGATTGACAAACATCATATGTGTAATTCATGGCACAATTCAAACGGGATCGAAAGATAAGTTTTCTCTCTCCATTGACTTCAAGACATAATTTTTCCGAAATATGGTCCCATGGACCGGAAGTAGATGGGCGTGACTTCGTCACTCTATAGAGTGGCGAAGTCACGCCCATCTGTGTGCCTGTGTGCTTAGTACCAGGTTGTTATCATATCAGCAATGGGTCTTGCTCGTTCTTTCGCTTCCTGTCTGATGAAAGGACCAGGAGTGGCTGGATCAAGTTAGCTACCTAGCTAGTAGCAAGCACGTTAGTTAGCATTACAGCCGGCTTAGCCTTGTCATTTTTATTAGCCTTAACATGAAGTAACATTAAGTAACCCAAAATATTAAACAGTAAGAGTAGTAGTCATATTTCGTGAACCCTTTGAAGAGTACTGTCACACCGGTGTGATCATTCTATAATACACCATTTAAGCCTGCGGGACAAATGCTAACGCTAACGCTACATTAGCTTCGGCGATCTTTTCTACTTCATGCTATCTGCACAAATGGTTGACATTAAACATTAAAAAGATCAGGCAGTTCAGAGAGAATCAAAGGAAGGCAGGCAGGCAGCTTTGCATGACATTCTTCTGGACGTGTTTCATTGTGGTGATAGTGAGGGTAGTCGATCACTTTTTTGACAAGACAGTAGTGACGGCCATCTCGGTGACGTGTGTTGTTGTGCAAGAGATGTAGTTCATTGAGCGTTTCACACATAAAAATGTGTTACTTCACAGTTTTACGACACATTTTTTTTTTTTGACTTGCAAAATTATCTTTTAAATTGACAAACATCATATGTGTAATTCGTGGCACAATTCAAACGGGTCGAAAGATAATTTTTCTCTCTCCATTGACTTCAATACATATTTTTTCCGAAATAAGGTCCCATGGAGGTCCACCGGAAGGGGAGGGACTTCGCCACTCTAGTCACTTCCGGGCAAAAATTACAGCCCCGCCCACTTTTGGGGAAAAACAACGCTGTCATTTGAATGGCGGTCAATAAAAATTCTGAAGTTTTTGCCAATCCGATCAGAAATTTAAGAAAACCGTGGATTTTTGGATCTTCAAAGAGCCCGATTACGATGGCCAGTCAGGCAAACAATTACATTAAATCATTTGAAATCGACGATCGGGCTCGATATATGGTTCAATTAAAATCAGTAGGCGAGGCTGTAATTTCGCCAGCTGTTACTCTCATGAGCGAGGCGGAAAATAATTGTTTTATCATGCCAAAAAGCTGCTGTGTCGTTTATTGCACCTCAAACATTAAAATAAATCCAGAGTTACGTTTTTCTGTACTTCCTCTTAGAAAAAAGGACAGTAAAAGAAGAGCTGTGTGGCTTCAGGCTTGATTGCCATTCAAATGACAGCTTTGTTTTCCCCAAAAAGTGGGCGGAGCCGTCATTTTTGCCCGGAAGTGACGCATGTGTTACTCTCATCTTTGATTGATTTCTTTGATGCTACTTGCCTATCGTCCTGAGGAGGGCGCTAATGTAAACGGAAGTCATCTTCAATTTTCCGGATGGTTTCTGTGTATTTGAGTGAAACACGCTTTGTACGACGTCGAGGAGAAGTTAAATACAACATATCTTGATCTAACATTACGTCAGTCCTCAAGATGCCTAACACCAAACTGCTGCATTTACGGAGTTTTTTAACTGAACGCTTAACTACCGCGGCCGTGGAGATATTTGGAGAGATAGAAACTATTGTGGAGGCTTACTACGAGGAAAACAAGCGCCTGCGGAATGTGCTGCACATGGTGCTCAACCCAGAGATAAAGCTGTCGAAAATAGGTTTGTAAATGTTGGTTACCTCAAACATTTTAACTGCCTAGATATGTGAAGTTAATGTGTCTGCAATGCATGAGCCTGAATATGAGATAAGACTGGTTAACTATAGCACGTGACGTAAACAATGTAAACAATCGTTTAGGTACATTTTATATATGTGAAAGTGATGCCTCCACAGCAGTGTGTAGCTATCATACCTTAACATTTGATGTTACTGAGTGCTCCACAGTTGTTGTTCTTTTTATACTTATACTCATGCACTTTACCCTAAATGTCACCCAACTCTTCTTATATCACTACTGCAAGGCAAGTTTGATATAGCCCCTGGTTATCCAACTGTTCTTTTGTGTCCATGACATGGAAGCTATTGAAAAGAGACTACTTAATACAAATTGAAAAAAATTGCATACAAATGTATATACCATTTTTAAAAAGAAACACTCAAATCCAATAAAAGAGGTGTGTCTATTTTGTCCTGTGTTGTTATCTGGTATAGATTTGGGAGTCACTGACACATGACATGGAAGCTAATTTGACTATTTAACAAAAAATACTTAATTTTCATTACATTATTTGTAACAATATAAGGTGGACTAAAACCAAATATAAACAAATGTACTGTTCTTCTTGCCCAGTGTATGAATACAATGCTGCATTGATTTTGAGTCATTGGGTCAATGTCATTTTTTATAAAAATAATTATTAAAAAAATCTTAAATTATAGAAGCACTAAAATCCAATTAAAAGTGATGTGTGTTTTTAAATCATATCTGGTAGTTATTTGGAGACACTAGGTCACATGAGTTATGAAGAATATAAATACAACATTCAGTAAGACTGTTATTAAAAACACTGCATTAGAAGAGTGCTTGCTTCTCTCTCTGACTTTCTCTTGAATCCAAACCCCTGAAGTAAAACCTCCAGAGTTAAGGTGTGTGGCATCAGTTACTGTGGCAATGTTGTCAGGTAAACGAGTGAAAAGGAGCACACCCCACAGGAAATGAAAACTACCAAAACGTCACAAAAACAACTAAATCCTCTCAAGGGAATATCCAAACTTGGGTGTAGTAAACATCTGATCATGATTAGACAAAGAATAGAGATTATAGCCAATTGAGAGGCGAAGTCCCTCCCTTTCCGGGGGACCTCCATGGGACCTTATTTCGGAAAAAGTATGTATTGAAGTCAATGGTGAGAGAAAGATTATCTTTCGATCCCGTTTGAATTGTGCCACGAATTACACATAAGATGTTTGTCAATTTAAAAGATAATTTTGCAAGTCAAAAAAATAAACATGTGTCGTAAAACTGTGAAGTAACACTTTTTTTTGTGTGAAACCGCTCAATGAACTACATCTCCCGTCTCGCACCACACACCAAGACGGCCGTCACGTTGGCACATTTCACTTCTTTCTTTCAGAATGAGCTGAAAAGTATTAAAAGGTGAAAATCACTACAAGTCTGGGCATGTTGAGAGCTGTACATACACAAAAGGGGAGTTAGTCGGTTCGTAAGAGCCAGCATGCGGGACCGGGATTCTAGGATTTGTAGTCTTTCTAGTTGCATATTTTTCATAGTCTTTGTTTTACGACAAACTGTGACTTTTTTTACATGGAAATTATTTTTTAAGATTGACAAACATCATATGTGTAATTCGTGGCACAATTCAAACGGGATCGAAAGATAATCTTTCTCTCTCCATTGACTTCAATACATAATTTTTCCGAAATAAGGTCCCATGGGTCGGAAGTAGATGGGCGGGACTTCGCCTCTCTATTGGTCTACATTTTTCATCTGTCTTGTAACTTTTCTGGTGTGTAAAAATAAAGACTGCTTCCGGAGGCGGGAACTGTGGCTATATAGGTTTTATACTCAAATTGAAGCAAAATATGTATTGGTATTAAATATTGTGTTTCCCCTTTCCCCCCACAATAGATGTTGGCCAATACTCTGGAGCCACACCGGTCAGAGAGCAGCCCTGTGAGCTGAGATCCAGGCTGGAACAGGAAATACTAGAACCGTTGCCCAAAAAACCTAAAGAAGAGCCAATTGAATATGACATAAGTGAGGTATCAGAACAACAACAAGGACTGGGGGAAGTGGATAACTGTACAAGCACAGATTGTGTAAAATATGAAACAGAAGAAGACGACATAAGCATGCCCTGTATCACTGATCCATTCCACATAAAGGTGATTGAGTTCAGACCGGACTCATCAGGCACTCTCGAGCCTAGACAGGAGGAGAACTGCTCCCCGTCGGTCTCAGATGCGATCACAGATAACCCACAGCTACACAAAAGTGAACAAAGCACAAGTCAAAGTCTGGAACTTCAAAAACCTGACAAATTGTCAACTAAAAATGTAACGGTAAGCTTGTTTTGATGCCTTAGATGTTATTGTTCATGATTGTCCTAATGTTTTTTCAATGTGATTGAGCATGGGGTACTTTTTGGAAGATTCTTTCTGTGTAGATTTTAAAATGTGTTTCAAAACTGCTACCGTCTTTTAACTCTAAACAAATCTACGTTAGGGTACAAAAACATTACCTGAACCCGAACCTTAGATTTGGCTCAATCAAGCCCAGCTTATTAACTCGGTAAACTTTTATTTTCCATCTCTTTCCTAGTAATATTGACTGCCGAAACCATCCACGCTCTTACTGAAACAAATAAGACTGCCACGACATGATGGATATATAGTAGTTTCTTTATTACATTACATTACATTGCATTTAGCTGACGCTTTTATCCAAAGCGACTTACAATAAGTGCATTCGACCAAGAAGATACAAACTTGAAGAAAAACAGAATCATATAATCAGGTTTCATAGAGCCAAAACATTTCAAGTGCTACTCAACTAGCTTTAGATAAGCCAGTCCTTTATTAGTATACAAGTGCTTTGTTAGTTGCTCGAAGTGGAGTCGAAAGAGATGAGTTTTCAGTCTGTGCCGGAACATGTGTAGGCTTTCTGCTGTCCTGATGTCAATGGGGAGCTCATTCCACCATTTTGGAGCCAGGATAGCAAACCGACGTGTTTTTGCTGATGGGAACTTGGGTCCCCCTCGCAGTGCGGGTGCAGCGAGCCGTTTGGCTGATGCAGAGCGGAGTGCACGTGCTGGGGTGTATGGTTTAACCATGCCCTGGATGTAGGAAGGGCCAGATCCATTCACAGCATGGTACGCTAGTACCAGTGTCTTGAAGTGGATTCTAGCAGTTACTGGAAGCCAGTGAAGGGAGCGGAGGAGCGGTGTGGTGTGGGAAAATGTTGGAAGGTTGAATACCAGACGAGCCGCTGCATTCTGGATGAGCTGCAGAGGTCGGATGGCACATGCAGGTAGACCAGCCAGGAGGGAGTTGCAGTAGTCTAGGCGTGAGATGACGAGAGCCTGGACCAAATGTGCGTCGCTTTCTGGGTCAGGAGGGGACGTATCCTCCTGATGTTGTAAAGAGTGTATCTGCAGCAGCGGGTTGTTGCAGCGATGTTTGCAGTGAAGGACAGGTTGTTATCTATAGGTCACACCCAGATTCCTTGCAGTCTGAGTCGGGGAAACAACAGAGTTGATTGTTAGGTCAAGGGTGGGACACTCTTTCCCCTTTATCAGAATATTAGTGTATAAAAAATTGTAAGGACTGTTATATAAGGTTTTGGTCATATTGCAAGCCTGCTTTGTTGCACCTTGCAAGTGTTTAAAGCATGTATTAATGTTTTTTTTTTTTTTCTACAAAATGGAAGAAGCAAAAGTTCACCCTGCAGAAAACCATGCTAGAATTACAGAGGTAAGAAAGTTACAACTCACATGACCTTACTTTTTATGTTTTTATTTATTACATAGCTAATGATATTTACTAATTTCTTACAGGATGATGCCCCAAAAACCTGTCGTTCCTTCCCCAGTTGAGTGCCACTCCTTCTTGGAAAGGCTCACTGAAGCCTTCAAGGATTGTCCAGAAGACAAGAAGCCTCTGATAACCAAAATGGGCCTGACAAAGAATGTGGAATTAGTGGACTCTGCCTTTGGTCAAGTCCCTAAAGGTAGCCCCCTGTCCTACGTGTGCCCCGAGCCATCAAGTCGGGATTACAAGTCTTATGACGATGCCCCCCCTCGGCCACTGCTTCCCCTGGCTAACTACAGTCTTGATCCAATACCTGCTCTTCCTATCCTCGGTGCGAAGGAGCAGGAACACATGGACGTCATGCATATGACCTGGGAGGAAGCGCGCAATCTGGAGCAGTTCACACGTGGACGTAAAGAGGAAGTCGAGGAGCTGCGAAATTTGCGCCTGACAAGCCGTTTCAGGGAGATCTGCAATCTTAAAGGAGGAAGGAGCAATGCAGAGCACCTTGTATTCAAGATACAGAAGGCACTCCCTGAGGCCCCACAGATAGAGAAGGAAATGAGGCTGGAAGCACTTCGGGAGTACTGTAAGAAAATGTGTGTCAACTTTTCCACCTGTGGTTTGGTTGTCCAACCGAGTGCTCCGTGGCTGGGGGCGCTGCCTGACGGGTTGGTGTACGACCCCAAGGAGATGCCCAGTTACGGGCTGGTGCATATCAAAATGGTTAGCTTCCCTAGCTTCAATGAGTGCAAATTCCTTATCTGCCAAAACGGAGCCTTGCAACTAAAGAGGAACCACTCGACCTATTGGCAAATCCAAGGAGAGATGATGGTGACGGGCACCGAGTGGTGTGACCTGTTGGTGTTCTCCAAAGAAGACATGCTGGTTCAACGCATCTACCGAGACACGGCTATCATCAAGGTCATGAAGAAGAAGTTGGATAATTTCTTTTTCTATTACTACCTGCCATGTCTGTTTAAATCTGATGGCATGACTTGAGCATCGTCATCCCATGCACTACTTGCTGTACCCCTTAGGTGATTGGTAGTGAGGTTAAGCAGATTGTATTTGGTTTGGTTTGTTTATCTGTTAGTTAGCAGGGATAAGAAAAAGAACGCCGACCAAATTCTAATGTAACTTGCACAAAAATATTTCTAATTAGTTTCACTCAGTCAGGGAAGGAAGGAAGGAAGCTTGTTTTTTTTGGGTTGTGTTTTCACATTCATGTATGTTTTATTTAGGGACATTTCAAGAGACTACTAAAGCTAAGCTAATAAGTGGGAAATGTTATTGCCGTTGTAAACAGAAAATGACTTTTTTAAATGCGAAAATTAAAATGTGTTCACAAAAGCTTAATAATTTATTCTTTTAATGATTACTTTCATTTCATTTCACACCTTTATTTATCCAGGTTTGTATCCCATTGAGATCATTGATCTCTTTTTCAAGGGAGACCTGCTCAAGTAGGTTCCACATGAAACATTAAAAACATAAACAGAACAACAAAAGGACATCATACAGTAGCATTACAGGGATTACAATTTACATACTATCCACATGCACAGGTACCAACAGCTTCCGATTCAGTAGCATCCAACCGAGCTTTAAAAACATTTAGTGGCACCAGATTGCTCAGTTTCCATTTTAATTGCAGACTATTCCAGGACACTGGAGCTGCGCATCTAAATGCTATTTTCCGTAAGACAGTCCTAGCAGTTGGCACATTTAATAAAACCACAGCATGCGATCTCAGGCAGTAGCCACTTACAATTCGCCGTGAGATCAGGGAGCAGATGTAGGATGGAAGTTTCCCTAACATGGCTTTATATATAAAAATGTACCAGTGACTGAGCCTCCGTACAGTTGGTGAAGGCAGACCAGCCCTTGCATACAGGGTACAGTGATGAGTTAATGCTTTACAGTTTGTCACAAATCTCAGTGCACTGTGATACGCAGCATCTAACTTGACCAGGCAATTGGCAGGTGCATTCATATAAATCAAATCACCATAGTCCAGCACAGGTAAAAAGGTCACAGTGACTAGCCTTTTTCTGGCCTCGAGCGAGAAACAGGACTTGTTCCTGTAGAAGAAACCTAGCCTAACCCTCAGTTTTTTAAGCAGGTTATTGACATGACGTTTAAAAGTGAGACAATCATCAAGCCAGATACCAAGGTATTTGTAACAGGCAACCACTTCAAGTTTTATTCCTTGCGTAGTTAAAATATCTAAAACAGGCTCTGGTGTCTTTTTGGCGTTTTAAAAGAGCATTACCTTGGTTTTATCAACATTTAAAAGAAGCTTTAGTTCAGAGAGCTGAGTCTGAATAATGTTAAAAGCAGCTTGCAATTCAACAACAGCCTCCTTAATGGAGGGACATGCACAGTACATAACGGTATCGTCCGCATAAAAATGTAAGGTTGCTCCATTGACATTTTCACCTAAACTATAGATGGAGAATAAAAGTGGACCTAAAACAGAACCTTGAGGAACACCATTAGTAATGTTTAACCACTCTGAAGACAGCCCATCAAAATGAACACATTGGGACCTTTCAGAGAGGTAGTTCACAAACCACCCCACTGCATGGCTGGATATGCCAATACTGAGTAGCCTCTGCTTTAAGATGCGATGATCGACGGTATCAAACGCTTTGGAAAGGTCAATAAATAGAGCTGCACAGCTCTGCTTATTATCTAAAATACTCGCCACATCATTCACCACTTTCATTGTGGCAGTGATGGTGCTATGTTGCTTTCTGAAGCCTGACTGATGTTTAGACAGGATGTCATTTGTACATAAAAACACCTTTACCTGCTCACTCACTAGGCGTTCAAGAACCTTAGCCAGAACTGATAATTTAGAGATTGGCCTATAATTATTTAAAACAGTTGCCTCCCCTCCTTTCAGCAAAGGCAGGACATACGCTGACTTCCACAGTTTTGGAATTGTGTTTGTGCTGAGGGAGAGGTTAAAAAGAGTAGTGAGAGGTGGAGCAATAAACTCTGCAGCTATCTTTAAAAAGAAAGGTTCCACGTTGTCCGGGCCGGCCGGTTTCTTAGGATCTAACTTGGTTAAAGCTTCACGAACAACATCAACAGTAAAAGGAGTAAAACTGAAAGGGTTTTCCAGACCACATTGTTCAGAGTCACCGACTGTGGTGTTCACAGTAGCAGAGTTAGTCACAGAATCAAACATAGAACCGCAGGACACAAAATGCTCATTAAAACAATTTAGCATAGCAGCCCTGTCCGATATAGAGCCAGATGCACTTTCTTTGCACTTCAAACTCTTTCACGACTCATGTCTTAACTTTTGAACAGCAGAAAGACAAATAAACAGAAACAATGGATATACTGAATATTCAAGGCTAAAACCTTTAGACATCTTTTTGTTAATGATTAATCAGGGGCGTTGATTCATAATTTCATTTTTACAATATGTTGTAATTTGCCTATTAATTAACTATTTGATTTGAAGTGTTGGTCATATTTATTTATGCATAGCCTACACAAAATGTTAAAAAAATAGCTATCTTCCCCACTGTAACAAAACAATTCTGGTAATTTCTCTATTTAGTCCCTTTCATTGAATTTGTAAGCCACATTATTCAGCATGGAAGTGTCAAAAATCGTATGTAGAAAATAAAATGCTTTTCTGCATATTGAAGACCAATATTTGAGTGAAATTCATTAGGCAATTTTGCAAATGAGGTAAATGCAATGTCAACAACAGTGCTGTCACAGGGCTCAGGTGTCCTCGTGTCCTGTGCTCCTGTAGGGAGCGCTGCAACCCCCGGTGTGTCCTCTGCTCCTGTAGGGGGCGCTGTACCCCCTGGTGTGTCCTGTACGCTGTACGAGGTTGTGTGAGGTTCCTGCCGGACTGAGCAGGGTCTCTTCGGCTGGTAACAGATGACGTAACAGGAGCGATGTTTTTTTTGCAGCTGGACTGAAGAACAAACAACATTTCTCAGCAGAAACGCTTTGTCATGTCTCAAACTTTCCCCGCGCGTGTTTGAGTCAGCAGTCATTAGTCAGCAGCTCACACAGTTAGAAACATTGTGTCCTCGTGCATTGAAGATTAACCGGATGCAGTTGTTTTGAAATACCCAGCTTGCTGCTCAGACACAAACACAGTCGCTTCTCGCCTCGTCGAGCCCGTGTCACTGCTTTCCCACCACCTTTCTTTTTGTCGAAATGGCTTTTAATAAAACTTACATTAGTATCGGCTATGCCTCTTTTGGGACGCTCATGGGGTTTTCTGCTTTCCTGGTGTGGAACATCGCGTTCAGACAGTCGTGGACTGCAGCCATGGGAGGACTGGCAGGTACAGTAACTGTGCAAAAACATGCATTTTGTTTTTGTGTTGTACAATATCACGGGTCTTATGTATGTTTTTATAAAAGCCTTCAGCTATACCACCAGTGACCCCCTCCTGAGACTGAATGTGCCCTAGTTATTGAACCTACTTATTGCAAAAGGAGCCTTTAGTCAGACAGGGATCGAAGTTCTGGTTCAAGGGCAGAGATATCAACATATAAACAATGTTATACAATCAAGTCAAATTATAATTTGTTTAATTTCAGGGAGGAATAAACTGCAGCAGATATTTTCTTTTATCTGACAGGTGTCAGCTTTTCATCTGTACAAAGGTCAACTTTTTACCTTGATTAAAAGGAACATTGAAACTGTTAAAACATTGGAGATTAAAAGTATTTCAAAGTGCAGACACATTTTTAAAATGTATTTTTGAGCCAAAGAGGATAATACATTTCCAACAATAGTATACAAAAACCTAATTAAATAGGGAAGGGAAAAAAATAATCATAACAAATAAAAGACACATACATTAAATCTAAGAATAGGAACACTGGTGCAGAACTATCAAAACACAGGTGTGTGTATTGTGTCAGGTTTTCATAAACTGTTCTTATATATAATATTTTAAGGACAGTGTTTAAATATAATATAAATCGATTTTTGTCACTATTTAGTTTAAAGGTTGTCACGTATTTCCAAATGTTGAAGCGTCTCCTCCTCCTTTCTGGCATAATTTCTTTGTAATTCAAATTCATTTAAACCACAGTTAGCTTAGAAGTAGTATGTATACCACATTTCAAGACAATTTTATGGACTTTTGAGTCTGGATTATTTAATAAGCATGTTTCTGATGTTACAATATGACCATGACGATAGATAGATAGATAGATCGTACTTTATTGATCCCAAATTGGGAAATTGTTTTTGTTACAGCAGCATAAAAGGCATTTTACAATAAAACAAAATATACAAGAATAGAAATAAAATAAAATAAAATATAAAATAAAATATAAAATATACATGTCAAAATACAAAATAGAAAATATACATACAGATATTATATATATATATATATATATATATATATATACAAATATATATATATTCAAAATATATGGAATTATGGAGTATTAAATATGAAACAGATTATGTGTGAGTAAAATGTACAAGGTGGTTTGGGCACAGACTTGCAAATAAATGACAACATTAGATCCCGTCCAGTCTACCAAACAACTACAATCATTCAACAGATTATATTAAGTGTCATTTCCGTGGATCTGACCTTTGAGTCACTATCAGACCTCTGCTCTAATCAGTTTACAGAATGTACTGTGATCAATGTAGTTGTAAAATATTATGACATGTTCCCAGATTAAACTGAGTCATCTGGGCTCTTTTGTTTGTATTTTAGTTAAAGAACAAATGTATCCTGTTTCTCCTTCTATCACAACTCTGATTAGAGAAATGCATACAACATTGATAAATTGCCACCAGAATAAAACACTTTTGCATTTTATTTCACAAGGGAACTTGTCCCTTGTCTGCTTTAAGGATTAATTGACACAATTATATTTTCCCAAATAAAATGACACATGATGTATTGTTTATTTATTTAATCGTTTATTTGGCAGGGACAATGCACAGTAATGAACACTTAAAACATTCAAATGTGTCAAGCGTTACAGTGCCAGATTTAGCTTTGAGCTCATTTCCATCCGCAGTCCCTCACATAAAACATTTAAGAATTTACAAACATAGCAAAAACAAAATACATGATGCAAAAAGTGCAAGAGAGCAAGAGCAGCACACACAAGTATTTATGACATGGTAATACAATATAGCAGCAATGACATATAAAGTGCAAGAGAAGATACCCCTGTATTAAAGTGCATTATTATTAGTCATTAATAATTAGTTATTAGTAACAGGTAATTATTAGTATTACCTGTCTTATAATATGTTATGTGATCACTCTCTAGCCTTCAATTATCCTTATCATTGCCCTTTCAGATCCAGTGAGCATGGCCTACAACATTGTGGCTATTTAAAAACAAA